CAGTTTTTATTCAAATTATTTTATTTACACTCGGATCAAAGATAGTCGCCGTAATGATTTTTGGCCATACTAATTTATCTCCAGAACTTACAAACCATTTTCATTCATAAATATATCTGGCATATACATCATACATGTTCTACCATATTTTTTCCACTAATGTAGCATTTTCACTTATATTTAGCATTTCTGCCATAAATGGATACATGTTCGTTTTGTGCTTTGATTAAAGATGGTCTACTGTCGATAATCTTTCTTTTTGGTCTACTGCTTTATCTTTGATATCTCATATTTTTTTTTATATATCATAATACACACACATGTTTTTTTTGTATGAATATCTTCTAAATGCATATTGAATGTTAATCATCAAAACATTAAACTAATAAAAAATGTACATGGATAGGATAGGATAGGATAACATGTAGTGATGATTCTGGTTGCAAATGAATTCATGAATATTAGCTCTTACATGTACATGTACAACAGATTATGACTATTTATTATTTTTTTTTTATTTAATATAATTTCTTGCCATAAAAACATTGAAGAGTGTCATTGTGTGACACCTTAATGAATAAGCTGGCACATGATACTAGAAATATGCATTTTACTTGAGCTTGGAAACAACAGTTACATAAATATGAGAAATAACAAATAGAAATATAATGTTTGGACCATATATTAAATTGCAAATTAAGAAGTGATTTAATAAATCTGATTTTTGTTCATATTAGATATGTCTAGACTATTATTCACTTTCAATTACTGAGCATACACTACAATTTCATTCAGAAACAATTCACCTAATCACATTTTAGGATATATATGCCCATCCATTCATTTCACATTTTGATTCAAGATGGCTGAATGATGGCCATTTCAATGCTCTAAATTCATCAAATTATTCTGCATTCACATAAAATGTTTTGTTTTGTTTTTCTCAAAATTAATTCATTTGATGGTGATGTCTCTGTTTTATTTTTGTGTGCTGTCTGAGTGCATACTTTGAGGTATCCACGTAATAACCTTATTATTATACATCTATTCCTTCCAAGGATACATCATGGGAATGCCGAAATCCAAAACGTTTAGAACAGAATCAGCGAACTTCTTTGTGCGGAGTCAAGTCAAACCCTGGTGGCAGCCATGTTTGTTTTTATTATTAGAGGATGCTTCCGCGTCTAATTATTCCATATTTAGAATTCGCATTTCCTAATATGGTAGGATGAAATTACCCCGTAAAATACCGCAAAATTACGGCTTGCTGTAACTTATGGCATTACAGCGACAGATGTATAATAATACATGTTATTGACAAACATGTAATATTTGTGAGTACTTTAAGAAGAAATGTAGACAGTAACATCATTGGAAATTTTCACACAAAACTCCACATTTGCTTGCTACATTGTGTTTGATGTGTGTCCCATTTGATTAAAACAAACGAAAATAAGTTCTGATTAGTTACACACACACACACACACAATTTTTTTAAAGCATTTAAATGATCTTAACCAAGATGAGAGTTATAACGAAATGCCCATTTTACTGGATATTTATATCGCCATGGTTACAGACAGATGCATTAATTATGTAGCATCCTAAATAGACGTAATTTGCTCATATCACATGGTTGCCAATCCTAAGTATTTGCATTTCAAACCTCGGTTTCTCAGTGGTGGAATTTATTTGCAGAGAATCTGTGTATTGTATTGTCTGAAAGGACCCAAAAATGAGACTTGGGGATGAATTTAATGGCAATAGCTGCCACTCAATAAAAGCAAATTCTGTTCAGTTTGAGTACTCTATGCTTTTGACACTTTTTTTACCTGTGTTATTTGCAGGCTGTGGTGATAGAGGGCAAATACTGGAAGAGAACTCTAGAAACTGTGGTACAGGAATACAAACGATGGAGAGTGTATTACAAAGAAAGGAACGATCTCGACTGTATAGACGAAGATCTCCAGGAATTGAAAAATGTACGTGTTCATATTTGAGTGTGTTATTAGTGCCAAAAGAGTGATCTTTGATTGTTTTCTACATAACTCTTCTTCCAAAACCGACGCTAGATTACACATTATTGTATTTTTTTAGCATGAAGAATTCTTAGAAAGACTAAAAGAATCAGAGAACAGCTCTCGTTTATTCTATCCCATTCCCACAACAAGCACAGTACAACCCGTGCCATCACCTATGCTGGTGGAAGAACAAGATCTACTCAATGAATTTACAGATACTTTATTCTCAAGTCTTAACCAACCTTTTGCATTTCCCAATCCAAGGGAAATTGGTAAGTCACAGTTCATTTACAGTCCTTCTATAGGCTCAAGTCAAAACAAACCAAATTCCTGCTAAGACAGTTTTGCATATCATTAAATCTTTGAGCGCCAGTAACGATTCTGTCAACATTCTTAAATTTATATCCATAAACTAGTTTTAAGTTGTAGCACCGTCATTCAATTTCTGTGTGAGAATGGATTGTTCATTTCTAGCTCGCAGAATTTATTCACCACTTCCCCTGGTTTTGAGGTCAGTGTTCAGATGAGCTATTGTTTAATTTTTTCTTTTTGCACACAAGCGCGCAAGTTTTATTAATATAACTGCAGAATGCAGAACTTATCTATAGTTTTCATAGCTAAGCAAAAATGTTGATGGTGCCAATGTAAAATTATGTCTGTTTAGTCACGAATCTTG